AAGATAACTGAGTGAAAACTAAGAAGAGTTCAGATTTTCACAACATGAAGTATTTTCTCTACTGGATAATAAAAAAGGCAAACATCATGAGCTATAGAAATCTCAAGAATTCTAAAGCTAAGAGAAATCACAATCACATGAATAAAATGGTTTTAGTCTTTGAGTCACTGCCTTTAAGAGAACTAAGGCAGTTGAGTATTTCATAAGAACAATGACAGAGCTATTGTTCTTCAGAGACTTTATTGTTTAAAGAAATTCAAATTTTCTGTTATTTTGGCTGGTGTCCCATAAAGGAGGACAGATAAAATTCTTAAACATCCTGTTCTACTATAATGAAAATAAAATATATCTTTGGAATAGCATTCAAACATCCAAGAATTGTGTTCATAAAATAACTTACAAAACTAGATAGCAAAGTTCTCCTTTAAAAAATATTCACAAACTGATGGCAACGTTACTATTATTGGGCAACATCAAAGAAATCAACATTCTAAAGAGAAGTTGTCTTGTGGAAAACATTGAAGTTGCTTAAGCCCAAAGAAGAGTTGGTCACAATTCAATGCATTTAGAAATATTTTCCAAATAACAATTTTTAAAAGGGAGAGGCCCTGAAACAAACAAAAATTGTCACCCTTGATTGTAGAAATTGTTCTAGGCATCACAAAATGCCTTACTTTATACCAATATAATAGTTGTTGTTGTTGTTGTTATGTGCCATCAAGTCATCTGTGACTCATAACAACCCTATGTACAACAGCCTTAAATCCTGCTCTACCCCTTGCCAGTCTTATTGTCTCTGACACACCTATCCCCATTATCCCAGTCACTGAATCAATCCATTGCATCAAGGGTCTTCCTCTCCTGTGCTGTCCCTCCACCCTCTCGAGTATGATGCCCCTCTCCAAGGACTGATCCCACCTTGCAACATGTCCAAAGTATGTCAGATGAAGCTTCAGAATCCTTGCCTCCAAGGAGCAGCCTGGTTTCACCCTCTCCAGGACAAACTTGTTTGTTCTTCTAGCAGTCCATGGTATATTCAATACTCTTCTCCAATACCACAGCCCAAAGGCATCAATTCTCCTTCTATCCTCCCTAGTCTCCTCCAGCTCTCTGATGCATAACAAGTAATTGCAAAGACCATGGCCTGGATCAGGCACCCCTTTGTCTCCAGACTGATGTTGCTGCTCTTCAGTACTTTGGAGAGGTCTCTGACAGCAGGTTTTCCCAAATCAATTTGTTTTTTGATTTCCTGGTTGCTGGTACCAAGAGTCAAGCAAACTGAAGATGTCAATAATCTCAAGCTCTTCACCATCTCTTTACCATCTATCGTGATGCTGGCAATCATCCCAGTGGTGAGAATCTGGTTTCTTGACGTTGAACTTCAATCCATATTGAAGGTGGCAGTTCTTGACCTTCTGCAGCAAGCACTTCAGGTCCTCCTCAGTTTCAGCAAGCAGGGTTGTATTATCTGCATAATGCAGACTGTTGATGAGTCTACTTCCAATCCTGATGCCACACTTCTCCTCATAGCACCCAGCTTCCCAGATAATCTGTTCTGCATATAGATTGAAAAGATATGGAGATAGGGCACATCCTTGACACAGACCCTTCCCAATTTTGAACCATGCTATGTTTCCTTGCTCTGTTCTGACCACTGCCTCCTGGTCCAAGGATAGGTTTTGCATAAGCACAATCAAGTGTTCTGGGAGTCCCATTCTCCTCAGTATAACAGTTAAACAAATTGATTCAACCAAAGGGCTAATGAACGACTATAACTTCCACTTCTGGTATCCTGAAACCAGAAGATCTAGATGGTGCCCAGCTACCATCATGCCCCACTCGAAGAGGAATCACAGCAGAAGTTCCTGGATAGAGTGGGGGAGAGAGTTAAAAATAAACAAAACTAAAGAAATACTTAAAAAAGACTCAGATTATTGGTCCTACTGAGACTGGTAAAATCCCTTAAACGATGCCCTTTGTCACCCTTTGAATCTGGAACAAACCTTAGCCTTATTGCTCAACTTCTGGTCAAACAATAGATAGGCCTATAATTGTTATGTGATGTCCAGTCAATTAAGACTCACAGTAACCCTATGAGCAATAGCTCTGAGCTCTGCCCTATCCTGAGCCAATCTCATTGTCTCTGACACAACTGCCTCTACTGCCAAGTCCCTGTGTAAATTCCATCTCATCTGGATTCTTCCTCTCCTGTTTCTCCATGCTTCCAAGCATGATGTCCTTCTCCAAGGACTGGTCCCTTCGGGCAACATGTACAAAGTATGTAAGATGAAGTTACAAAATTTTTGCTTCCAAGGAGCAACCTGACCAATAATAACAAGCAGGTGCTCACTACTTAGAATAACCAATCATAAAAGGTCAAAAGAGCAGCATTTCTCAGAGGGTAGAAAGAGGTAGGATGATTAATAGAAATGAGAATTATAAGAAGTAGGAAAAGTATGCTTATATTATTCGTGTTATAATAAATGTTTTCTACCTCATCTGTTTCAATGGAGTATACATAATTTACCCCCTCTTTCTCAGTCTCCTCCCAACTCCAATGTCAGGTCGTTTTACAACAGTGGCACTATGCAGTATTTGGCCTTTTGTGACTGAGATTATTTCACTCAGCATAATGTCCTCCAAATGTAGGAAATTGTGAAATGCAGGTATTGTCAGTAGTGCCCACTGATGACCAAGCACTCAAACATTCAGGAGGAAGAGAAAAGAGAAAACACCGGTACTAGATTTCCAGCACACGGACTCTCCCCTGCACGTCTGAGTGCTCTGGGGCCTGCGCCTGCCAGCGTCCCCTGCTTCATGCACTGCCAGCCCCAGGAGCTCACAGGCCTACTCCGGGCGCTTACTTATTGTTACTTGCAATTGATAAGGGTTGTAAAGGCTCTGGGGTGGTTTGAACAATATTATCAGCTCCTGACCACTCTCTTTAGAATATATATCGAATTTTCATTCCATTTCCTAATCCCTGGCTTTTCCTCCCCTCTCCTCAGAAATTGCTTCTCATGCCTAAATAAACAAACACAAACAGAGCTTTTTGACTAGCTCCAAAGTCACAAAATCCCAAGGATAACAGTGCCCAGTACATTTCTGCTCCAATCCCTATTTTTACACATTAAGATGCTCCTGGGAAATTCAAGCTCAGTTGGTCTTTCTCTCTTTTGCCCAGGTCTCAGGTTTCCTCTGCCAACACTGGACATACAATGTCTTAAGCATAAGTGCACACACATTTCCCTTGGCTCGATCTAATTCTTTACATGTGGAGAGATTGCTATTGTATGTTATCACTGTTTATTTCCTTACCACAGTTCTATCTACTGCAAGTACACTGCCAAATGTTTAAAAGCTTCCTACTTTAAAGCATAAGTTGATAGGAAAAGATTGGAGAGGCACAACTTCTTTAAAACAAAAGCTGAGTGTGGTTTAACTCAAACAGAGTTTTTGAGTTATACCAAAGTCAGCATGTTAAACCTCACCGACACAAATACAGGAATCACCATAAATAGCATGTTGATACATTGACAACACATCCCGGGGGTGGGGGGTGGGGGAGGCTTTCTGGATGTGCTCTCCAGAGCATGACATTTGAAAGATAATATACTAAAATGGTTAACATTTTTTCAATTCTGCTGGACTCTACTTTTCCTAAATCCCAGGCACCTATTCTTATAGTTCCACTTTTATCTAACAAACCTTTGAAATGAATGGCTGTGTCTCTCTGGAAATTCGAATCTACCAGTGGCTCCTAGGGAGAAAGCTGGTCAGTCTTGTCCCAAGTGTTTCACAGCATCTAAAAACCCACAGGAGGCTCAGCAGTTAGTATGTTCCAACTAGACAGCACTGAGTTTGAGAGTTTTGAAATGGTTTAAAAGAAAACACTGTTCTGTTCTTTCCCACGTGCTAAAGATTGACACAGTGACTAAATGATAAAGAGGATTATCCATGGCTAAGAATCAACATGCTTCAAATTGGTAATAATTCAACTGGCAGGAAGCATTGGAAATTGCACAGACGTAGGTCGTGATTTCTCCTGTTGTACACAGGGTTGCTATGTGCGGGAATTGACTTAATGGCATTTAACAATAACAACAGCAACAACAGGAGATGCTGAATACTTTGAGTTGGAAAATATCCCTTCAACTGACAATGTAAGACTATCTATTAAACATGGAACCAAATCTGTGTCCAGTCCTGCAAATCTATACCTGACTGCTTGTTTTTTTTTTTTTTGTTTCAGAAACATTTTGCTGTGGGTGATTTATTTTACTTCCATGTGGCCAGCCATTTGCTTACTCTGCTGCATGCCATCTGTTTTTCTGGTGGAGAGGTTTCAAGTTCTTCTCATTCCCTACCTCATAGCCCACAGAAAACATTTTATAAGAGACACAGATTTAAATCATTTGGATTCACGTGGAGCTGGTAATTCAAGCTGCCATTCATTTCTGTTTGGCCAACGCTTTAATGGGATTAGTAAATTGTGTTATTACAAGGGACTTAGTGGAGACACAACACCTTTTTCTACAATGACAAATTCCATTAACAGTTTCATTTGAGGTGTTTAATAGCAGTACAGAAGACCCCACTAACATTACAGGAAATTGTTCTGATAGGCAATAAAGTCCCACCACAAATCCTATCTATATATTTCAATTTTGAGTCAATGAATACCAGTCCCAGGATTGGGGAGCGATGAGAGGATTTACAGGAGGAAAAAAGAAGTATCAGGTTGCTTCACTCATAAGGAAATGTTATCATTTAACGGTAGACCGGTAAGCTCTGCCTGGCTCCCACATCTTGGAAGCCTCCTCTCAGCCCTCCAACCATGGCCTAGGTGTATAGATACTTTCTTCCCCAAAGAAAAATTTGTGCTACAAATCCCAGTGTTATCAGCACAATTTATTCCCCATCTCGGGCTCATTTGGGATTGCTCTAAAGATCCCACCACTCAGAGAAATTCCACAGGTGATGTTTAAAGTATTAATTACCATTTTGACAAGGATCCTTGCTGCTTCTGTGGAGAGGAGGTATCTGATGACAGGGCCCAGGGGCTGTCCACAGTTCCTGGGTACCATCCAAGGGCTGAGAAGAGTCCATCTTGTGGTCTCCCTGATTTCCACTAGTCCTTACCAAATCAGAGTTAGATAGGTCGCAGAGGCCAATGGCATTCTGATGGGCATCAGACAGATTTGGTCTGTTGGAAGTGTTATGTGATATTTGTACCAAAGCTTCATTCATGAAGAACGAATTTTTATGACATAAGCTCTCAGAGCGATTAAGGTCCATTATCTGTATAAGGAAATACAGAAAAAGTATCATTTCTCTGGTTACTTTCATAATGTTCATACATTATTTACATCTAAAAGACTTTGTTGTTTTGTTGTTGTTGTGTACAGTCAAGTCAGAACCAACCCATAGCTGACCCTCAGGCAGGTTTTCAGAGGCAGTTAATTGTTCTTTCTTATTCTGAGGAGAAGCTGAGGACTCAAGCTCCTGGGGAAAAAAGGGGTGAGTCAAGCATAGTCAGAGAGGACGCCAAAGGAGCACAGCATCCTGAAACCTTTTGTGGTCATGAATAATTTAAATATAACTTAAGTTAGCATCTTCTAGCGAAATTGGTATTGAAAAGAATCTGGACTGCAACCCTGAAGGAAAGCGGTTCAAATCCACCAGCTGTTCCCTGGGGGAAGGATGGACAACCTCTTCCTGTGTGATTAACCACCTCTGTAAACCTGCCAGAAAGTCAGCTATGGATCGGATCCAACTCTATGGTATACAACAACTTCAAATTTACCAGAAGAATAAGCTCAGAATCCCCAAAACCCAAACCAAGCTCACTGCTGTTGAATGAATTTAGATACTTAGTGGCCTCATAGGATGTAGGAGAACTTCCCCATAGGCTTTGGAGGCTCATGCGAGCAGGCTGTCTCCCTGTCTTTCTCCTACAGAGCTGCTAGTACATTCAAACACTTGACCTTTGAAGCTCCGAGCTTACCCGACCATGCCAGCAGGACTTCTTATACTTGGAATAGCTGAATAATATTATACTGTGTCATGGATTTAATTATGTCCCAGAAAAACATATGTATGTAATACAGTTCTGGTGACTAAGTGGTAAGAAGCTGAGGTGCAATTCAAAAGGCACAATGTTTGAACCCACCAGCTGCTCTGAGGGAGAAAGATGGGCAGTCTCCTCCTTTGTAATTTACTGTTTCCAAAAACCTGCTGGAGGGTCAGTTCCAATTCTAGGAAACACAACAATAACAACAATATGATGTGGAAGCTACATAATGATCCTGGATGATCTGATAAACCAGTAGTTGTAAAAGGATTAGGAGCAGAATGCAACACTCCTTAATCTCATCACAGCCCTACTCCATCTGAGGAGAGTTCCCCTAGTGTGTGCCCTGTAATATCTTTTATCTCACTGGAGATATTGTTAGGTACCATCAAGCTGAGTGTAACTCCAAGTGACCCTATGAAAGTGACCCTGTCCTATCCTGTGCCATCCTCATCATCTCTGACATACTTGTGCCTATTGCAGTGGTCTGTATGTCAGTCTATCTGGTTGAGTCTTCATTTCCTTTACTGACACTCCCCCCAACCCCCCCCCACACACACCTCTTTCTCAGCATGATATACCTCTCCAAGGAATAGCCTCTCCTAAAAGCACACCCCAAGTATGTGAGGTGAATGAAGCATCTTATCACTAGAGAAGAAAGAGGAAGAAAGTATCTCCCAGGCAGAATTGCCAGGAGTGGGGTTCACCTTTTTGAACTTGAATCTCTTCAGAGGAGCCTTCTTGATGCTAGAGAAGGTCAAGACATATAAAGAATCTCCAGGGACACCAGGCCTAAAGATGCTGAAGTAAACCAAGACGTCACTCCATACTCAAAAGAGAGGGGTCTTCCCTGACAGCTGCCTCCCTTAATGTGAAGTACTAGCCTCCTAAACTGTTTGTTAAAGCCATACACTTGGGGTATTTCTGTTACGTTGTTGTTGTTGTTGCTATGTGCCATCGACTGCCTGTGACTCATAGCGACCCTATGTACAACAGCCCTAAATCCTGCTCTATCCTGTGTCAATTCCACTGTCTCTGACATACCTACCCCCATTACCCTGGTCACTGCATTGATCCACCTCATAGAGGGTCTTCCTCTGCACCCTCCTAAGCATGATGTCCCTCTCCAAGGACTGGTCCCTCCATGCAACATGTCCAAAGTATGTCAGAAAAAGTCTCAGAATCCTTGCCTCCAAGGAGCAACCTGGTTTAACCTTTTCCAGGATGAACCTATTCATTTTCTTAGCAGTCCAAAGTATATTCAATACTCTTCTCCAGCACCACATAGTACTAGATAATTACGACAACTTGCTAAATTCAGTGTCTACCCTTCATAGGAAAAGATGACTGATCCACTGAAAGAGTACAACTACGCAGACTATGAGAATGGTGCAAGATTAGTGCACGGTTCAAACCTGCTGTTCACAGGGTAAATGTAAGGCATAGTCGGCTTGATGGCATCTAATTTCAGCAACATGTTGTTGTCTACCTACCCTCAAGTCGGAATGGACCCATAACTCCTACAGCTTTCAAAGGCAGTTGTGAAACTCTACAAAAGGCTGTATAAAGTGGATCCTCAACTGGAGGAAAAAACATAAACTCATACAAATGTGCCTCAAGACAAAACCATCCCTACTTTATTTACTAGACCATCTCCACTCTCTGTTTCTCCCTGTTGTTGTGCTTGTTGTGTCGAGTCAGAATCGACCCATAGCTGATCCTCCCAACAGGTTTTTAGAGGCAGTTTGCACGGGGAGTTGGGGTGGAAATTGTCCATCTTCTCCCACAGAGCAGCTGATGGATTGGACCGTTATACCTTTGGTTTTGTAACACAGCTTCTTACCCCTAGGTGTCCCAGGACCCAATAGGGGCAAGTAAGCCTTTAAACTTCCCACATTTTAACTCAAGATACATCTGCACCTTCTCTCGAAGTTCCCAGCTTCTGCCACCTACAGGTGGGGAAAGTCAGTCCTGGGAACTCTTACACAAGAGGCACAAAAGACTACTAGTTGGGGGAAAGCCTCAGGAACCACAGAGACTGTCTTGTGGGTGAGAAGCTGCTGCTGAACTCAGTCCACACACACACACCTCCTTGCTGCCCGGAGCGAAGGCCGCGGGGAGGCTGCTCTGCCGGCTGTGCTTCCAGTGGCACAGCAGCCTCTGCTGGGTCCGCATCTTCTCCCGCTCCTTCTCCACCAGCCGCTGGCCCTCCCGCAGCAGCTCCACGTTCTGCTGGTACTCCTGGAGCTGATGCGCCAGCTCCCCTCGGCTCTTCAGCAGCAGCTCCTCCTGCGACTGGCACCTGCGCTCCCGCTCCTGCAGCCAGCTCTCCTTGGCCTCCTGCTCCCGCTGCTGCTGGTCGCACCTGCGGTGCCAGCGCCGCTGCTCCTGCTGGAACTGGTGTTGGAGCGTGTGGATGTTGGCCAGCTCCTCGCGCTGCTTCTCCAGGTTGCGGGACCTCTCCTGGTCCTGCAGCAGGCTGCCTCGGAGAGGGTGGCCCGCACACAAGCTCTCCTGCTGCTGGAGAACCAGCTTGTGGATCTCAATGTGGCTGTCCTGAATGGTCAGGGCGGCCTGTTAGAGGAAAGGAGAAGACCAAAGTCAAGGTCGTCCACATTGCTCACGCTTGGGTCTGCAGTGATCTCTAAACATAAAACCCATGACCAGATTCTCTTCTTTAAAGTTGCTATACTTATTTTTTTCTATACTTCCTCCAAAGACCAACTTCTGCACTTCAAATCAATTTGACCCCGTTCCCTTACTGATCACCAGTTAAACAGCTGGCCTTTGCTGTCAAGTTATAGTCACTCCCCCATCCCCATGTGTCACAACAGAACTATGCTCAAAGGCTTGGGTTTTGTGTTGTATTTTTCCAGAAGGCAATTGCCAGGCTTTTCTTCAGAGACACCTTTGTGCTGTTTTTGGTGCCATGGATTTGATGCTGACCCATAGCAACTCCACATATAAAACCTTATGTTATAGTTACTGTGTCAATTCACCTTCTTGTGGGTCTTTCTTTCCTTTCTTTGCTGACCCTCCACTTTTCCAAGCATCATGTCCCATTCCAGTGACTATCCCCTCCTGATAACACACCCAACATACATGAGATCTCTTGGGCTGAACTCAAAGCATCAAGCTCTCAGTTGACAGTGGAGTGCTTACCCATGGGTTTTCCTGCTGAGGAGACTTGACAGTTTATACAGAACAGAATGAAGCACAAAGGCAACACTTAGGCTGTTTTGAGAAATGTGATTTACTGAGGGTTGTTAGATATTATTTAAGCAAGTGTTCTGAATATAAACTTAGGAGATAAATTTTCAAGATTTTGCATTCCTTCTCTTGCTGAGGTCTCTTCAGTCAGTAATTCATGAGAATTTAAGAATTTATAGAAACTTAGTATTGTTGTTGTTGTGTGCCGTCCAGTCATTTGCGACTCATAGCGACCTTATGTACAACAGCCCTAAACCCTGCTCTGTCCTGTGCCAATTGCATTGCCTCTGACACACCCATCCCGATTACCCCAGTCACTGAATCAATCCACCTCATGTCTTCCCCTCCTGCGCTGTCCCTCTACCCTACCAAGCATGATGTCCCTCTCCAAAGACCTGTCTCTCCTTACAACATGTCCAAAGTATGTCAGTCGAAGCCCCAGAATCCTTGCCTCCAAGGAGCAGCCTGGTTTAACCCTCTCTAGGATGAATCTGTTTGTTTTCTTGGCAGTCCATGGTACATTCAATACTCTTCTCCAGCACCACAGCTCAAAGGCGTCAATCCTCCTTCTATCCTCCCTAGTTAGGTTTCAATAAATCTATTTAATGGACAAAACTGCTACAAAAGATGTCTTTTAGGAGTTAAAAAGTATAGTTATCACTTTGAAACTAAGGTGCACCTGACCCAAACTATGGTATTTTCAGTTGTCTTATGCATGAAAAGGCTGGATAATGAATAAGAAAGACTTAAAAAATAATTGATACATTTGAATTATGGTGCTGGGGAAAAAAATACTAACAACCGTGGGTTGTCAGAAGAACAAGCATGTCTTGGAAATAGAGCCGGAATGCTCCTTTGAAGCAAGGATGGTAGGACTTGATCTCACCTAGTTTGAAATGTTACCAGCAGGGACCAGTCCCTGGAGAAGGGCATTATACTTAATAAAAGTAAAGGGTCAGCAAAAGAGAGAAATGCTTAGCAAGAGGAATTGGTACCGTAGTGCAACAATGGGTTCAAACACGGCAACAACTGTGTGAGGCTGGCAGAGGAGCCGACGGTGTTTCTATCTTACTCCATCTAGGGTCACTATGAGTTGAGATTGACTCAATGGTGCCGAACAACAGTTGTATCTTTATGTGAGTCCCTAAATGAGAATTTTTTTAAATCACAGTGCTTTCCAAATCAACCATTCAGTGTCTTTTGTCGAATAACTTTTATATAATATCTCCAAGAACAGCAGATATCACTATTTTTAGAAGACACAAAAGTGGCTCAGGCTTGTCTGGCTACTAATATTTCTCTGTGTTGCAAGAAAGTCATACATAAAACACTAAGTTGCTGTTCATTGGTTAGAATATGGTTAATAAGATGCTCAGATGATTAAGGGAAAATAGAAATATTACGGCACAGAGGACACTACCAACTAGATTTAAAATACATTATGAATTATGGTTTCTGCCTATGCAAAGCTTGGCAACATCACAGGATATAATTGTCAAATTTTGAAGGGATTCTAGAAAATAAAAAATCTCAATGAAAGCTCTTAGATGCTTTTAATTTTAGAAGTTTCTACTTGAAGTATAAAAAAGTGTACAAGGGACGAACTGAAAATGGAAACATGCTAGGTATGTGTGAGTGTGTCTGCTAGGTATGTGTGAGTGTGTCTGTGTGTGTTGTAACTGTATGTGAAATCATTGTTCTCTTAGGGACAATGTCACATTTTCTTCTTCAAAATTTAAACTGTTCATTTAAACAATTCTGAGGAGATAGAGATGTGATCATTAGAATTTTGTTGTTGTGTGGTTAAATAATCAATTTCTGATATTTTTAAGTTATAACTACAATAAATCTTGGCATTTATAATTAGGAATAGAAACATATTCACTGAGACTTTTGAAAGAAATTATTTTTTTAACTAGAAAATATGAGAAGTTTTACATTTTACCTAAATATTTGATTAATGGCATTTTAGAAGGTATCAGAAAAAATACAGTTATCATTAAAAATAACCACTGGTTACTCTTTAAATATAATAATAATAAAAACATTCTGGACATTGGTGACTTGGCCCAAACAATCTTAGGACATCATTAGAATAAAGTAAGCAAAAATTCAATATTTTATATAAAAACTACCACAAGTTTTGATAAATGACCTACATGTGTTCAATAAACATAATTAAGTGCTTACATGAAGTAATTTTTTTATATCTATTTAACATTTAGGATAAGTTCTCTTTTTCTCCTAGTATGGAGATAGAATTTGAAGATGGGATACACATGTTTCTTCCGAGAGTTTGCATTTCTATTTAGGGCAGAGAACAGCACTTGCTTTTTAAGTTGAGGGAAATCCCCAACTCTAGTCTTTTAAGTTGACTCTGCTGGAACAGCTCCACGTCTTTTCTTTCACTCTGCTCTCCTCATACAGGAATCAAAGTTCGTTTTCATCTGATTAAAATAACACTTACATAAAACCTTCAATCATGCATAAGAGATTCAGCTTCAAAAGAGATGGCGCCATGAATAAAAATCTTTCAGAGTCTATAAGCTCAAAAGTTTTTACTAGTGTAAGTGAACTTACAATACAATTCTATCTTCTTTTTGTTTCTCTAATCAAATACATTGCAAAAATCAAGTCATTTACATCACTGGGCTTTTCTGAACTGAACCTCAAATCCCACAGGGCTGAATTCAGGGTTGAAAAGAAAAGATGAGACACTTGAGAGTATCTGACCAAATAGTTTAAATTAGGGTGTTTTCAATGTTTCAAGTTTCAATGTTTTCATCTCTCAAAAGTTAATGAACTCTTTCCAATACAACGATGGTTCTCCGCATATTTGTTTGGTTTTTTAATTAAATTTTATTAATTTTAATGAACATTTACAGAGATTTTGGGATTTCATTCATTCATTGTTGCACTATTTTCTCTACCCTCCCCCCTCAGTTCATTCCTCTTTTTTTCCCCCCTTGAAAGTCTGTTTTAATTGTCCCATTACCACAGTGCTTGTCAAAACCAGTTCTGATTAATCTCCTTTGTCAGTGTGTCCTTTGCCATTCTCTATCACTCCTCCCTGAGAGAGACTTCACCATGATTCATAAGGAAAACAGGATGGCGTATTCGCTTAGCTACTTCCTGCTGAAAAGGGACGCTGTTCTCCACATATTTGTAGCTAAAGAAGAAGAAGGAAACCAAAGACTCAAAAAAGAAACTAGTCTCAAGGATTAAAAGTCCACATGAACTAGTAACTTGAGATGAGAAGAAGTAGAGGATGCCCAGCTACCATCATGAACTGTTCTGACCAGGGACATGACAGTCTCAGGTAGAATGGAATGAAACAAACAAGCCCAGACTGACGAGACTGGAAGAACTAAGACCACTGCCTGAGAATATTGCTCTAGGATAGTCTGTAAACTTGGAACTCAAATCACTTCCAGGGGTTGTTGAAAAGAAAGAATTTATCACCTTAAGAATGAGAGGAAGACCCTCACCAAGCAGGATTGACCCAGTGACTGTAACAAGGATGGCACAGATTAGGCAAAGTTCAGATCTGCTGTTACAGAGTCACTGTGAACCACAGCTGACTCAACGGCACCTAACAACAACTGTGCTCCTCTAAACAATCATCTAAATGAGACCTAGGATACAAACGTTAGTTTTCTAAAGTCACTTTAAAATGCTATTTAATAAGCCAGTTAGCCATTGGATGCATTGAGCTCCTCTCTTGTGTACATTGTAAGGAACCCTCAAACTCTATAATCCTATAAAAAGCACGATTTTGATGTTTTTGTCTTTGAAAAAATAGAGAAGTGTTTGTAGGTGGATTCTGGGGTGTAGTTATCTGTGTGTTCAATCCATACAGCATACCAGCACACAGAAGGCACTTAATAGAGGCTGGCTGGCTGGCTGAACAAACAAAAGCGTATTGGTGCATGTGGATCTAACTGCTCACAAAACCAGCCCATCAATTCTGATGCCTGGTAACCCTGCAGGACTGACCAGAGCTGCTGCCCAGGCCTTCCAAGGCTAAACAGTCTTAACAGCAGCAGACTGCCACATCTTCCTCCAAGAAGCAGCTGGTGAACTCGACCTGCCAACTCTTTGGCAAGCCACTGAGCACTGCAACAAGTGAGTGCCAACACAGCAAGAACTGTGAGGATGGTGCCGGTCCAGGTAGTGTTCTGTGTGATTTAGAACGGATCAGACAGCACCTCACAGCAGCAAAAGCCTAAGGCCACATGTGGAAGTGAGCAAAGGGTAGGTGTGAATGTGAGTTTTCACCAGAAAATGTGAAGTCATGCTCCACTCACTTAAGAGTTTCGCTGTGAACTTTAAGCCAGATCATGTGCATCAGCGTATTTTGTAAAGATATGAACTGTTTTATGGTTTCGGAGAAGGATGGTATAAAACATTTGGGTGGTGGTGCTGCCTGGTGATTACAAAACCAGGCTCAATTCCCTGCATCTAGTGGACCTGCTCTGGGTGGGAGGTGGGGGGTGGCATTCTTTGTCAGGCCTCTCAAATGTTCTAATTTCTAAAAATCTGGGAATCATCAAATAAAGGGAATTGCAAAAAAAGAGAACCATTCCATTCACAAGGTCAAAGATTAGAAGGGGGAAAGTTACCTGGAGGCTATATAAGAGCCGGGTTAAATTCTGTATCGCTTGTATAATCTGAAAAATAAGATCGTAAGTGTCAAATGCTTTCTAATATGTTTTTTTTTATTCACAAATAAAGGAGAGTAGGATAATGTTCAGACCATATGTATCTCACCTCAGACTGTGAAGAACCCAGAGAGCCTCTATAGTCCACCTAAAACACATAAAAAATAAAATTAAAAACATTCTGCTAAGTAAAAGTTGCTTCTTAGCGTCCCAAAACATCTGACCCCTTGAGAAATCTCGCCCCTTCCTAGATTGGTTACCTTACCTCTAGAGCCTCTGCTTCCTCACTGAAATAAACACCCACTGAACTAAACCGCATACTGATAACCAAGAAATTCCTTCATCCCAACTCAGTATTTCAGATGCAACTCTTCTAAGCAAAGCATGATATTCTACCTGTTGAGAACCACACTGTAAACACTGGGTGTGCTCTGTGCTCACACCGTGGCTGTCTGCCAGGCCAGGTTGGCCCTCATGTTCTGGACATCTCCCCGCCCCATTAGGAAGATAGAGAACTTCTGGGCTGGCCTCTCACTCCATCTCAGTGCTGGTGATTCACGAAGCCCAAACAGCCAGTGACTGGGAGGAGAAACCAGACCCAGCCCCAACCCACAGGGAGCCCAAAGTTGGCTGCCTCCATGGTAGAGCACAACTCGAAGCCAGTGCCCCTGAGATCCCTCACTGCAACCCCTCAGGGTGACCCCTCACTGTGTGATCCCTTACTCTCGGACCCCTCATTGTGACCCCTCAAAAGCACTATCCTATGGGAGCTGGGCACTAGCACAAGGGAGGCCACAGGAGGCCATCTGCTCCTAGAGGGCAGAGCCTACGCCCCATTCTTTCTCTCCCCCACAGCACACATTAAGGGGACCAGTGGAGAGTGTTTCCAGTTTCCAAAATTAAACTAAGCATCTGCTTATTGATTGGCTGTTTGCCTTTTTCTATTGATACAGACTACTGAGTAGCAGGATACTCTCTACTTACTTGTTCAGGGCTATATTCTCAAAGGTAAGTCCTATCTCTCTGTCAAGTAACAGACACTGTTCCAATATTAGTTAAACGAATGACTACTGGCTGAATTGAATCCTATTCTACTCTGTAAGTAGACACTGCATATCTACTGTCTACTCTTCATGCTATGGAAGAGCAGCAGAAATCCTGCCCCTCTTGCCTGGTCTGAGAAACCTAAGTCTAAGTAACTGTAACCCTTCCTCATGTTCTGGGCTAAGGAAGTTGTGATAAATTAGCTGGATTTTGTGGTTCCTCCTCCCCCTCAAGTTCCTTTGCCTATATGACAATTAGTGATTTCCTGAATAGGATGAGGACAAAAGATGAGAAAGATGAAGTTTGGAGCCTTTTCAATCCATGCCTAGTTCTACCAGAGATGTTACAATTTAGGAATTGGACAGGGCCTGAGAAATGGAGGAACATTCTGGAACCACTTTCTTCCCTAAATGTATCTTAAGCCTACAGAGCACTTCTGCGTAGAACTCCAGAGTGTGCCTGCTTCCCTGAAGCCCACAATTCAATGGCTCCCTGGCAAAGAAGCCAGTCCTTCGGTCAGTTTTGGAGTTCTCTCTCTCTGGTCTTCTGTCCTTTCTACCCAAGCTCCATTGCTTTTTCAAAATACAGCTTACGGGTATGTAACTTTTACAAAAATTAAAATATAAAAATTGAGTTTTTCAAAATGAAAACAAAATAAACATCCGTTCTATTAAGCAACACGTGGTCGGTTTACCTCAAAGAACCACTTGGCTTGAGACAAAGCGAGAATGCTTGGCGTCGTCCTTTTAATGGAGTTGGCCCGCCACCTTGTGTCAAATATGCATAACTGCAGCTGGTGATTTACACAAAGGCTTTTTGCCCAAGGGGGTGGGTTTTCTTTTAGGTATTTGATGAGTTTTTAATAAATTCTATTAACAAAGTTACTGATAAATACTCATTGCACACATATTCAAGACTTACTGATTTTCAAAACGGCTCATTTATTAAGGACAACATTTTCCAGAGGCTAATCCAAAAGGGGCCTGTGCTTAAGTCATGGAAGATGTTATGAATGGGAGCCAACACCACGTTCCATAAAAATGCTTTTTGATCAGTTCCCTTCTTTACTTTTTTCCCTTTCTTTTGGCTATCAGTGCAAAAGTATTCAGAAATTATGGACATTTGTATTAAAAAGGAAGCCTGATCAGAAAAGAATAAAAAACAGGAGCATTTCATTATGAAACAACTTGGAAGATTAATGCAGAATAAGTAGAATAAAATACTACCCTCCTGGTTTTCATTTTGACCTGTGATGCTTAAAAAAGGACATTCAGTCACAGCTCCTTTTTCCATGGAGTGTTCATTTTTCAAAAAACTCTTAGTTTTTCAGTGGTATGTGATATCATAAAAACAGAAAACGTGTCATGTATTTTAGAGAACATCTGTGTATGTGTCTCACATGTGCCCATTTCAACATGTCTAACTGTGTGGTGATGTCTTTGATTCAATCTTAGGTAAAGCTAAATTCTCGAGACTCAAATCAGCCAAAGGAGAAAGATTACCCCTTCAAAGTCATTTTTTTACAGCTTATTTTTTTTTAATAATTTTAATGAACAATTACAGAGATTTTGGATTTCCATTCATTCCTTGCCATACTTCTCTCCCCGCCCAGCCCTCTCCCCCCTCCCCGCCCCCCAGTTCGCCCCTCTCCTCTAAAAGCAAAAGAAACACTCCCTCCCTGGTACACAATCCCCCCCCACCGCCCCAAGTACATTCCACTATGCAACCTTAAATATTTTTATTCCCTCCCTATATCTGGTATCTCAATTTCATATGACAGTAACAGCATATTTCATAAATTTCATTTTTTAAAGAGAATATTATAACTCAGGAAGTGTTTGACATCACTTTAGCTCAAACATTGCCCAGATTAATTCAGTCAATTGAAGAAAAAAAAAAGAAGCTGGAAATGTGAGGGAAAGTTTGAAAAAGAGAGGAAGGTCAAAGAAGTTGAACAAAGCAAGAGTACTCCAAAGTGAAAATTGCTTTAGCTACATTAGCTCCCCCAGCTTGCAAAGCAGCCCAGGGCCACCTCTCAACCAGAGAGCTGAGCCCCCAGAGTCAGCACGAAGCTAAGGACAGGCCCACGGTGTGGAAAGGAAGACAAGAAAAGAAGTCAGAGTGCAGACACACATATACACGTTCCGTTTTTAAATGTATTTTTAATAACTTTCCAATGGCTTCTTTGTTTACACCTGCATGACTCAGGTCAGAGCAAGAACATTTTCAAGCAAATTGAAAGTTTAAATAGAAATTCAAATTGAGAACAAATCAGGGAAATGCTTTTCAAATACGATTCAATGCTTTTGACAGACCAGAATGTGAGGTCATTGTATCATCATCATCATCACATAACATAACCAATGCTATCTACCAACAAATTGGTTAACGATACCTTCTCCCCTGCATCAGAGACCGCCAAGTTGGTTACCACACCCTGGATCTCAGGATCCACATCCCAACAGTCTCCTCCTTCTTTCCCTTCTGTGACTAGTGCTGGCAGTGCACCATCGAGACAGAAACAAAAAGGACAACATCAAACATCAGCCAGTGTACGCAGCTGACACATATTTTGAAATAAGCGATATGGTACCATCAGAATACAATCCCTGCCCTCATGGAGCTTACACACTAACAGATACCAAATGCACAAATGGCATAAAATGATCATCCACACTTTTCATTGTTATTTCTGGCCGCGAGGTGTCAAATGGATGTGTCTAAGACTGAGTGAGTACATTCTACAATTCACTTCACATAGTAAGAAAAAGCCTGTTGGGAGAAAGGGGGATTTTGAAACAGACACCATGGGGCGAGAGCAAGGTCTCTGGGCATACCCCTGTGCGGCTTCAAGCAGACATGTCTGATAAAAGGCCCCTGGGTGACCATGTGAGAGCAGACAATAAACGGGACTGAGAAGAAAGGCAAGGTTTAAATCCAAGACTGAGACTTCAAAGGACCGTGAGGGTGGCTAATACTTCACGATCTCACAGTCTGAACACAAACCAAGAATCTCTATTTCTGAATAATTTATTTTACAACCAGTTCCAAATGTACTTTTCCCCCCTTTCACATTTCTTGTTCATGCTCTAAATTCACATCCACAGAAGCAAACCCAGGAATGTTCTTAAAAACCAAATACAGATTTTTACTTATCCAATAATTCCCTTTTGGTGAGATCTTAGTGAGTTGTTTACCTATATGAACTCAATTAAAATATATGCTGTTATCATGCATTGATTAAAATTAGACTTTTCAAAGTAGCTTCATTGGAATCATGTCCAGTCAAGACCCTGGTAAAATATTCACTTAGTCACTCTGTTTAAACAATCCTTTTATATGTACCATCTTAATATTTTATTCTGGTAAAAGAAATATTTTGCTTTCTTCACTTAAATTAATAAAAATACTTTTGTATTTGGAAAATGAAAGTCCTCTAATACTCCGAGGGCCCCTTCTAATACATTGTTTGTACAGCGGAAACTTGGAAAACTTAAGTTTATTTGGCACGAATTGGGAAAAGCTTAGTCACATATAGGGAAAGGAAGTTATATAGGAATATTTTTATCTGTCACTGAAAAAAAACTAATATTGACCAAATTATTGGGTGCTCAACTTTTAAGGGAATCCCAAAGCCATTACCAAAGAATTGCTACTCTCTTTCTCCATCCTAGAAATGAAGAATGGAAGAAACAAAAATGGGTGAAGAGGCCAAAATTCAGTTCAATTAAGGCAGAACTGGAGGTTAGGCCAGGATCTGTATTCAATGTCAAGCTGGTCTGAGGGCTCTCCAGTAGAGACGACACAACAGAGAGTTTTTATATATTGTCTAGTCAGAACCATTCCACAGCTGACCCTCTAGCAGGTTTTCAGAGGCAGATAACTGCATGGGAAGACTGCCCATCTTTCTCCCATGGAGTGGATTCAAACCATGTGCTTTTGGGTTGACAGTACAACTCCTAACCACTAGGCAGGCCATCAGAGCTCCCAGAGAGCAGATTATATTTATCTACCTGATCTATTTACCTACCTTATCAGGTGTATAGAGGACTGAAAATAGGGGGCCTTGCTTTGTCTCCATTGTTGGACTGACAACTTCTCTATTCAAAAGCACAGAACTGACCTACTCAGTTCTAGATCTTCACTGAGGAATTCTCATTTTCTGTCAGCAATTCTATAGAGAGAACCACCTTCTTGTGCACTATGCTCTAGTTCAGCCTAGAGCTGAAGAGGCGTTTGGGGTGCAGAACCCCAGCCTCCTGTCTGTGCACCTCCTCTGCATGAATCTTATCTCAGAGCTCTATACACGTCTCTTGGGGCTCTAGCAGATGCAAAAAAGTCCCCATGTCACAGGAGAAGTGGAGACAGCCAGGGAGAACCTTCATCACCCGCCCTGCAGGGAGGGAGACGTGGCCGTGTGCTCAGAGCAGCTGTGGCCGAGGACAGGAGCCTTCCCAGCTGTCCCTGGGGTGAGGCTGGGAGCCGTGGATCCCCACATGTATTTTTAGACAGGACTTCCTCAACGGCATAACGAGGCTCTTCGTTACAAGGGAAATCATCCAGGGCAGAACAACTCCCCTGATGAATCTGGGCTCTGTAGAAATGGAAAACATATGTGCCCATTCTGAAAATAGAAACTCAGGATTAGATAAGGCAGAACCGGAGAAGGGAAAAGAAAGTATCGGGCCTGATTTTTTAAAAAAATTATATAATTAAAAATCTGTATTACTGTTGGATCTCTTAACATACCAACAAAACTGAGACTATTTAATCCTCTAATCTCTTGCCACTAAAGATTCAATATGTATCTTATATCTCATGTACATAAGAAATTGTGGAAGTAAGCTTTTCATCACCCACACATGTTGGAAAATATCCCTGATATGCTCTTTTCTCAGAAAACTTTGAGGTATTAAATACAGGTATATGGTACTTAATAATAATTTAGAAAATGGCAGCACATACGTCTGTTTTGTTTTGTTTGTTAGGAACAGGGAGGGTGTTTGAGTTTTGTTTGTTTGCTTTTTAAGAGACTACCACTCTCCTTTTGCTTATTATTTCACCTTAATGGTTTTTGCTCCATAAAGGCAAGAATGGTGACACTGAATCTCACATTCTTTGGGCCTGCTGTCAGGAGGGGCCAGCTCTTGGAAAGCCATCACGCTGAGGAGGGTGAAGGATCAGAGAGAGGAAGGTCTGGCACAAGATGGTCTAGCACAGTGATGGTCACAACAGACTCACGCATATCCGAGACACTAAGGACGGTGCAGGACAGGTAAGGTCCAGATCTGCTGTTGACAGGCCCTCCGTGAGTGACAGGCCACTTGACAGCACCAAGCAACAACAACCACTCAGAGTCTTGCAGCACTGGACCACAAGTAGAAGACAGGCAGGTGAGGCAAGAGCTCTGAGCTCTGTCCAGCAGGCAGGTGTGAGCGGCAGGGCTGCTTGAGTGGACAGGAGTGTGGACAGCGCAGGGTAGGGGCACTCTCATCCCTTCTCACCTGCTTCCTCCACATGCATCCTTCTCACCCCTTCAGCTTAAGCTGCTTCAACCAGCAGCTCCAACAGCAGCAATGACAAAAATAAATGGAAGTGGGTCCCCATAAGCTTTCAGTGTGATGTTTACACAGTGTCCAAAGCACATAATGTTCCATTTCATAGAACACTTCACGGATGTTAAGCGATGCATACCTATATTTCAATTACAACCATACTCAGAGTATAATTAGTTTCTAAGAAATCCCCTGACCAATTCTCTATGTTTTATTCTAACCTGAATTATGAAAATGTAGATTAAAGTCTTCTAAGTTTTTGCCCTTAACCACAACATCAACTCTTATCTGTGTGTGTGTGTGTGTGTGTGTGTGTGTGTATGATACTTTGCCTTCTCAATTGGTATAAATAAAGTTTAAAAGCTTTTATCCTAGTGGATTTCAGAAACCCTTTCTGAAAAATCAAAACGTTTTTGAAAAAGGTTATTTCAAAACTGTATTAATTGTTATTGTTGTTATATGTTGTCAAGTCAACTATGACTCACAGCAACACTAGGAACAATAGATCTGAGCTCTGCCCTGTTGTCCTGTTGTTGTTGTTGTTGTTGTTGTTGTTGTGTGCTGCTGAGTCATATTCAATCTACAACTGACCCTCCAGTGAATTTTCAGAGGCAGATAATCACATGGGAGGAGACTGCCCATCCTTCTACCACGGAGGAGCTACTGGATTTGAACAGTGTGCCTTCGGATTGCAGAGCAGCTTCTTACCATTAGGCCACCAGAGCTCCCTATCCTGAGCCAATCTCACTGTCTTTGAACACACCTGCCCCCAGTGCCAAGTCCCTGCATCAATCTATCTCATCTGGGGTCTTATTCTCCTATGCTGACCCTCCACCATTCTAAGCATGATGTCTTTCTCCAAGGACTGGTCCCTCCAAAACTGTATTAGTTAGTCTTATAAAAAAAGTACAAGGATAGGGTTTGGAGAAAGTGCAAAGTTTGCCTGGGAAACAAAGCAGTGTCACCTATCAACTTCTCTTTAAGTCTTTGTCCTTGGAATAGTAATGTTTTCATTATATGTAAAGTAACCTCACATATTTATTGTCCAATATGTTCCTAATACTTAAAAATATACCAAATCCTCTTGAAATAAGGACAGAGACATTGATTCCATTTCATGTTATCATTCTATGTTTCAGAGGCTGTTTTCAGACTTGTTGAAACAAGCCTGGGTTTTCACTTACATGCTGTCGACAGTTCTGGTCCTTCACTAGAACATCCCGGCCCATCATTAGAGCTGGGTGCATCATCGGTCATGCCAGATTCTGCACAACTTTCCTCTGATGACTGATTTCCATCACCTGTATGTGAGGCCTTCACTGCTGCTTGGAGGCTCTCAGCTAATACAAACAACAAAAACACAAATAGATACATACATATAATAACAGGAAGTTCTGGTGGCTTAATAGTAAGGAGTTATGCCGCCAACACAAAGGAATTCACCCACAGCTCTGTAGGAGAAAGATTTCCTCCTATGTGATTTACTGTCTCTGAAAACTCACTGAAGGGTCAATTATGAGTAAGAACCAACTCAATAGTACCCAACAGCAACAATAATCTACTATCATAAAGATTACAACTCAACAACTCATTGCCATTGAGATATAATCAACTTGTAGTTGACCCTGTAGTGGGTTTTCAGAGGCTGCAAATTACATGGGTGACTTTCTATCATTCTTCCACGGAGCAACTGATGGATTTGAACCGCCTGCCTTTGGGCTGGCAGCACAACTTTCAATTCACAGGCCACAAGAGCTCCCTCCTCATAAAGGTTACAGGCTGAGAAACCTTATGGGCAGTTTTGCCCTGTAACAAATGTGGTTGTCATATGTCAGAATCAATTTGACAATGAGAAAGTAGATGGCTGAGAATTCCTAGTTCCTCAAAAAGGAAGGTCAACTATCCAATATTGGTGTTTCAAACTGGGGAAGAGGGTAGAGAGAATGGTACAGCAATGAAGGAATGAAAACCCAAAATCCTTGTAAATGTTCATTAATACTAATAAAATTTAATAAAAAAATATTGGTGTTTGTCTCAAGCACTTTATATTTTTATGCCAAATCTGATTGCCTGCTTTAAACTAAAGAGCTAGTCTGTGACAAAGGTTGTATAATGGTTACGTGTTCAGCTTCTGACAGGTCAGCAGTGTGACCCTCCCAGTGGCCCCATGGGAGAAAAGCTCTAATGATCAGCTCCCGTGAAGCTTACAATCTTGAAAACCTATGTTTTGAAATCCTTGAAACCCACTCAGTACTTACTCTGTCTCGGAATTGACATGATAACACATAGAAATAGGCATTACAGGAGCCTTTAGACTTTGTCTTGTCCCACAGTACCATGTCTACCAAGACTACACTGTACATAGTAGGTGCTCAATAGACATTTGCTAAATTTGTCCAAAAACCCTTTAGTGAAGCAACTTACCTTCCTTCAGTGCTGCTGCCAGTAACGAGGCTGCCTGGGGAGGCTCCTTGGGGTCAGGTTTAATGAGGAGGTGGGGTTCTAGATGGACATCCTCGAATCCACTCAGCTCTCCAAGTTTGGCATAGATGTGCAGCTTCTCCTCCAAATACTTGCAAATTTGCTGGTCTTGGTTACTGAGTATTTCTATGAATTAGTATTTACCATTAGGTTATCATGGCAGTACAACAGAAAGGTGAGGCTAGGTGCAGAGGGTGGGGAGGGGGGGAAAGTGGGGTGCTAATCATAGGGTTGCATAATTTAATGGGGGATGGTGAGGGACATGGGAAGGATCTTGTGTTAAAGACACAATGAAAACCAATGTATTTGAATTTTGCAAATTAATCAGTATAAAACAAAAAAAAATTAAAAAGAAAAACCAAGCTACATAGAGATGTTGCTAACTAGAACATCATCTGGGTGCTGAAAATTATGAACATGTGTGCCTGCTAACCAGAAGGTTGTCCGTTTGAGTCCACTGGAAAGATTCTTATAAGAAAGGCCTAGTTTTTAATTTTAATAATTTTTAAATTAAAATATTTTTTGTTTAGTGTTTTATATTAAAAAAAAATCAGTCATTGTAAACCTTACGAATTTCAATTCTACTCAAACACACATGTCTTCACAAGTCAAATTGATTTGAAAGCCAGCAACTGTTGTCATCTAACATTGAAAGCACAAGTTATTGAATGGAACAGGCCCAGGGTCAAGTCCCAACTGTCCCACTCAGGGACAATGGCCTCAATCAAGTGAATTCAGACCTCTGAGCCTCCATTGTCCTCTCTGGAAACAAAGCACTCAATAAATGCTCATCCCTTTCTCATTCCCCTATTCCAGGAAAACTTGCAAAGCTATTCTTTATTTATTCAAGCTGTTTTCTATTAAGACTAAACATTAAGCTCAGGAATGCAAATCGAGGCGGCAGTGTCCATGCTGAGTAAATACCCACAAAGGAAAACAATACAGAGACCTGAACCTCTGAGGGTTGCAGTCAGTCTTGGCCAAAAACAAACACTGGTTTGTGTTCTTGTTTCTAAACATCTAATTTCCTTGACCATCTTTGCATGCATCGTTCCCCACCCCACCCCACCCCCGATTCTAGCATGTCATGGAATTCTTACAGTTGACAGAGACCTTAGCTAGTGTCTAATTTGGCGATTTTCAGCTCTCTCTGCCTCAGAATCACCTGATGGAGTTTACCATAATAACAACCCTATACCTTGCCCCCAACAGATTCTGATTCAATGGGTTGAGGGTGAGGTCTAAGGCTTTAATATTTTAACAAAACTCTCCCAAGCTATTTTAGTGTCCAGTCAGAACTGAAAACCACTAAGTTAGTCTATCTCATTCCTTTATTTCACAAATTTGGAAACTGAAGACAACAATTTGGTTCCTAACCGAAGTACTACAGCTCTGGCATGACAGTGCTGGTTTCTAAAACTGCACCATCAGCCACTAATGTCAATGCACATCTCCCCTGAATTGCCCAGAATTATTGTTTTATGTATGCTATGCACATACATTTCTATAATTTACCTTAATCACTGAGGAACAAGGAGGGAGATACAGTCTTCTCACTTGAACATATCATTTGTTTAGGTGATTGAGTTGTTTTATGGGGATTTGGGAGGGGGTTGTTGTTGTATTGAGAGAGTAAAGAAGAAGGCCTTAGCTGTAAAAGTCATGACATCTGGGCTTCCCAAATATGACAATTAAGTTTATGAGTCTAAGCAAGGTGGTTTGGTAAAACACTAGACTAGCTGCTGTTGCATAATATAACTTAATATGGTGTAATGTAATGGCTTTCTATAATGTAACCCAATGTACTATAGTTAATCAATTGAAAGGGAAGCTTCCTTTGAAAGAATTTTGCCTCCACACTGTACGTAGATATTCTGGTAGAATGCACTCTCTCCCTTCCATTCTGTATTCCTCTTGTTTCTTGACCTCTGGATCATGGGACATAAGTCCACAAAATTCTTCTGCCTGATGACTGATCTAAAGAATTTGGACTTGCCTGGCCCCCCACAATCATGTGAGCCGGTCCCTCAAAACAAAATCAATCAGAATGAAACCCAAAATCTCTGTAAATGTTCATTAAAACTAATAAAAAAAAGAAAAAAATCAATCTCTCTCTCTCTCTCTCTCTCTCTCTCTGTTTTCGTGGTTCTCTCTAGAGAGCTCTGACTAAGACGCCCAACATACAAGAAGGATGCCTTGGCCAGTGAGCTGGGAGCTGGGGTGCCTGCACCATACCTTGACACTGCTGAATTTTGGCCACTCTTGCTTCTGCTTTGCGTTTTTCTTCATCTGATTCACTTGTCCTTCCTCCTTCTTCTTCTTCTGGGCAACTTTAAAAGACAACAGTCAAAGGAGACACCTGAAACCAAATTCTGGCAACACAAATACTTATTATAAATTCTCCCTCATAAAGGAGGAAATTGGAACATAAACAGATGTCATCAGGCACTCAGCCAAGAGATTTAGATTTCTATTCTATATAAAGAGACTTCTGGTGGCACAGTGATAAAGAGTTGGGCTGCCAACCCAAATGAAGGCAATTCTAATCCACCAGCTGATCCACAGGAGACAGATGAAAAATCTCCACCCATGTGATTTACTGCCTCTGAAAAGTAACTGGAGAGTCAAGTCGGCCTCCACAGTACACAGTACATAGCATCAGATACAACATAAGGTTAGCTCTGAAAGACTGCAGTATTATTGTTGTTGTTGTTGTTATGTGCCGTCGAGTCTCTTGCGACGCATAGTGACCCTATGTACAACAGCCCTAAACTTCGCTCTGTCCTGTGCCAATCGCACTCTCTGACACTCCCATCCCAATTATCCCAGTCACTGAATCAATCCA